CCAAGACAGGCGGCAGGGCTTTTCTGCTCCCTCACCCCCCAGGCTCTCCATCCTGGACACCGTGGGCTTCTCCCCATACTGGAAGACTTAGTTACTAAAGACTCGGTTCTCACGTGTGATGCTCTAAAACAAACTAGCTATTTTACTGAACTGATCTGAAGTTTTGACTGACGCCAGCACTGAACAGTCTTTATGGAAGTGTCATCCTGAAACACTGACGTCACCCAAACACACCATCTCCACCTTGCACAGGATACGACCACATCGCTACAGTAACAATGGGAACAGAGATGAAAAAAAAAAAAAAAACAGTGTCTAAAAGGGTGTGGTAGGAGAAAACAGAATAAAAGAGGAGGTGGCTGAACTGGCCACTGAAGGGTGTATAGGGTTTGCAGGGTAAGAAAATAAAAATATCCATAGAGGCATCCAAATTTGGGCTGCGCCTCCTGTAGTCTGGGAACAAGTCTCCAGGTAAAAAAGACCATTGCAAGTGTCTTGGAGGCTCACGTCATTTCCCCAGGGTGTCGCTCACTGTTCTTGAGGCCCCTGGGGGAGTGATTTGATATGAGGAACTTCAGAAACGTCTCCGTTGTAGAAAAGAGGTTGTCTGAGGGCCACTGGGGAGGTGGTTTTGGAGCAAAATGGCCAGGAGTGGAGATGGAGGACAGCGGGGAGATTGGAGAAAGACTTGGGGTTCAGAGAGTGTTCACTGGTGTGGGGGGTCATTTTCTTAACCACCAGTCTCTGGCCGTAACAGAGACGCTGACAGTGACTTTGATAATGGCAGCTTCAGTCCTGAGCTCACACACGCCAGGCTGTCCTGGGCACCAGCCCTTCCTTACGATGGAGGAAACTGAGGCTGGGAACCAGTCTTTCTGGAACGGTGTGGCCAGGCTCTGGCTGACACTGTGTGGCCTCCTGAAGGTGGCAAGGTCCACGCTAAAGGCTCCTGTCTGGGTCTGCTACTGTGTGAGAGTGAGGCCTAGAGCCATGCGGCTTTCTGCAAGTCTCCCAGTTCATTTACATCTGAGATGTCTGGAGAAGCCCCAGTGGATGGGACACAGTTCAGGAGGAATTGCTGGAGGACTGCCTAGCCAGAGCCAGCACAGACCTGGTTCCGAGGTTCCCTCCCTGGCAGGCTGGCCACAGGCTCTAGGGCTCAAACACTTGCCTGCAGGGTGGACCTGACAAGCTCTACACTCCATCCTCCCTGATCTGCGGTTGCCACTCCTGCAGATTCATGAAGACCCCTGTGAGGGTCCTCAAGGTGGGCAGGGATGCTGGATTGTGGCTTCTCTGCGAGGACCCCTCTAGAGATGACCTTGATACTTTGGCCTGGCCTAGTGAGATGGAACAGGGTCCCCTTGGCTAGGAGGAGCTGGGGAGCCCCTGTGTGAGGGAACCGGTTCAAAGACATCTTAGTGGAAAGTTTGTCTCCTACCACATCCTTCAGCTGTTTACAGGGTGGCGGGGGCCTGGCATCCTGACATGAAAAGAGGCTCACCCCGCACCATCATGGAGGAAGGACCAAAATAGCAGCTAGGGGAGGGGGACAGAGAAAAGAAAGAATGTCACGAGCAAGGTACATCCCGAAGCCTTGGTGAGTCCTCACCCCGGGCCTGCAGTTTCCTGGCTCACCTGTCTTCAGTCAGGGCTATGAAGCCCAGAAAAGTCTTCAAAGTAGGTCAAGGCCACCTGGGTGGGGCTCTGGGGCCTGATTCAGTTCACTAGTTATTGCCCAGGGTAGACAAGATGAGTGGGAAGGGCTGGCTGGAGGGGCCAAGAAGGCTGGGCAGCTGGTAGGTCTTCTTGGGTAGAGGCTACGGATGACCCAGAAGAGCCCAGCCATCCTGGCTGCAGGAGGATGTTCCCTACCCAACCCAGGCCCACCTGACCCCAGTCACCCCCTAAGTCTGAGGAGAGAGAGAGAGGGCTCTGCCTCAACATTTGCCTCTGAGAGGTCACCAGCTTCCAAGAATACCTCCTACCTCTGCCACCGCTCTCCGCAGCATCAGCTTCCCTGTACCGTGTCATATCGCAGAGGTGAGCAGAGTGAACAAACACACCGTGTTCCTCCATGGCCACACAGCATCTCTCCAGAGACCCTGGCTTCAGTGCATAGAGCTGCAGCTAAGCCCCAGCCCTGCCCTGCAGCTCCCTTACTGGGTACAACAATCATTTCCCTGGCCTCCATCTCTCCCCTAGCCTCTACCTCTCACCCAACCTCCATCCCTCCTCTGAACTCCACCCCCTCCCGGTCCTCACCCCTACCACGACCTCCACTCTTCCCCTGGCTTCCATACCTCTCTCCTGGCCTCCATCTCTCCCCTAGCCTCTGCCCCTTACCTGAACTCCACCCCCACCCTGTCCTCATCTCTACCCCGACCTCTACCCTTCCCCTGGCCTCCCCCCCCTCCCCGGCCTCCATCCTTCCCCTTGGCCTTCCCCTGGCTCCCAAGTATGTAGCCACTGTGGTTCTGAGAATGAGATACTAAAATATTCACAGCACAGTGACCCCCAATCCTGACTGCTTGGTTACGGCCCAGTGACCCCTTTGTGATATGACCTCAACGGTCACCTTTTGCTCCCCCAAACCTCTAGCTGGCATCCTGACTTCCTAAACTTGGCTTTGTGCTTTCTGTCCCTGATTCTTTCCACCTTTTCTGCAGCTTGAAGCAGTGTTGGGAAGGGTCAGGAGGGCAATTATAGACCCTCAGACACCCAACAGGGAGGCCTGCCCTCTGCAGGACTATATAGACCCTTTGTCAAGAGCAGACCAACCCTCTTAGGGCTTAGGGCCAGCCATGTACACACACACACACACACACACACACACACACACGCACACATGCACGCACGCACACACACACACACACACACACACATGCGCACACACACACACGCATGCACACTCACAGTGGGGAAGGTCAGTCCAGAGCCGCGTCAGTCAGGTTACCCTGTTAATGGGAGTTGCCGAGTTCTGGCAGTAGGAAACTATCTAGGCAATCTAGGGAGGGTGATAACAGTGGCACCGGCTCTGGGTCCTGGCCTGTGAAGATCCTGAGTGCCCCCGCCAGGAGTCCTGGGAACTGCCTGCCCCTATTTGGTCCTCCCTGCTTGTCTGGCTCCAAGCCTGGTGTCCCAGCCGGCTTGGTTAAGTTTATCTTAACCCTTCACCCATTCAAGAGCACATTCCTGCCCCCCCCAGAGCGCCTAGGGGAGAACCTAGTGCTGTACTCCGCTTCTTGGGGTGGGCTCCCTGCTCCTAGTCTGGGGCATTTTCAGGGTCAGCTCTTTGTCCCACTGTCAACCATCGTGAGAACGCATGGCAGAGCACCGCTGATTCAAATCGTTTCCTTGGCCCATTTTCCCTGTGGGTCTTTAAGATTTTATATGTGGAATGCTGGTTCCTCTGGGTACTTTACTAGATTTTCCTTAAATGAACTCATTTTGTAGAAAATAAAATAAAAATCTATTTATTTTCAAAGGGATCTTTGACATTTTACAAAGCGTCCGTCACACACTTCTCGAAAGACAAAATATAAAAACTCAGAAGCAGCTTCCTGTCAGAGAAGCCATCAAGGGGAAGTCTCAGAACTCGGGTTTTCCTTGCTAAGAAGGCAATAATGGCAGGCACAAACGGGTGAGGTCCACAGGTCGAATAGCAGGATGCAATCAGGATCAATCTCACGCTCTGAACTATGTTAAGTCTTTAAAGAGATAGTCTTGCTTTTAGAAAACACACCAGTCATCCCAACACTCAGAAGGCTGAGGCAGAAGGATGAGAGATTCAAGGTCATCCATAGCTACATAGTGAATTCAAGACCAGCCCGGATGACAGGAGGCCCTGTCTCAAAGACAGACAAGCAGGCAAGCGTACAGGGCACAGCCTTCCACTAGAATCCTGGCCCATGGCGGTGGGGTTCTAGAGTGCTCAGCAGTATGGGTTCCGTGTGAAGTCCGAGCACCTAGAAGACAGGGACCATGTCCTCGGAAAGTCATCTTGGGTGTGGAACTGTGTCTCCGGTGGAACTGGCCTCTCTGAATCCCTCACTCCTGGGGTCCCAGAAGTTCAGGGTGTCAACCTGAGAGAAAACAGATATCCAAGGAGTGCCTGCAGAGCGGGAGTAGCTCAGAGCTGGGGAGGAAGAGAAGACGCCATCAGAGCCAGGAGACAAGGGGACAGCCCGCCTCCACATGTCACACCCAAGAAAACTGGGCTTCCTACGTTTGCCCTGACTTTTGGCCCCAACTGGTTCTGTCCTCTTCTGCCCGCCAGCGCGGCTTTCTCTCCATCTGCCTCGGGCCATAGCTCCTCTTAAAACAAGAGTTTCATAGATGGTACAGAGAATTTCCCTACACCCTGAGCTTCATTATGAAGCTCTTACATACACAACATGAATTTGTCACAATTAAAAGAATTAATAGCAGCCAGGCATGGTGGCACATAAAAGCCTATAACCAGCACTTGAGAGCTGGGGGTGGGGAGCAGGGTGGAGAATTCAAGGCCGATAGCAAACCTATCTGATCTCTTTCTGCAATCCCTTCGCTGAGAGTCTTGGTCCAAGACCAAGCGATAACTGCCGTCTCCAACCATGTCAGCAGCACACACGGTCAGTCACCAAGGCGATGCTGACTTGTGTGCCTGCCTGAGTTGCCTCCACCAGCCTTCTCCACTGTGAAGCTATGGTTTTCCCATCCTGTTTGCTTGGAACACTCTGGGAGGAACTAGCTGTTCCCAGCGCACAGTGAAGATTCCATTCCGCGTGCAACTGTAGGAACAGAGCTTCTGTACAAAGACTCAGACTATTTCCCTTTGCCGCTTCGGATGGTTTCACACGCTGTGCAGGTTTCCTTGAATGCTTAAGGCTCAGGCCCTACAAAATGCTTCTGGCTTTCACAGGGAAGGGGATTTGAAGAAATGGTTCAATCGTGTGAACCTGGAAGACGGCACTGTAGGAGAAATGGGCGAGGCGGGAAAAGACAAATGCCTTAGGGTTAGTTACTTAAGGTAACTAACAGAAGGGAGAGGGTCCAGGGGCAGGTGCCATGGCTGGTGGCGTGGAGGGATTGCCAGGGTGTGGGGGGCAAACTGATTAGCAGACGTGGTTTCAGTTCCCCGGACACACAGATGAGGGGGAGTGACGGTTGCAGGCAACTGCAAGCATGTTTAACCTCACTCAACTACACACTTGGCAAGGTTGACGACTGGGCCGCTGAGGTGGCTCCGTGAGTAAAGATGCCTGCTGCCAAGCTCACTGCCTGCGTTGGATCCTCAGAACCCACGTGGTGGGAGGAGAGAACTGACTCTTGCCAGTTGTCCTCTGACCTCCACACAAGCACCGGGACACAAGCCTGCCCCCAACACAAAAGAAATGTGTTTTAAAAATTAATATTTTAAGGAGTTAGATTTTGGTCAGCCCTGATGGTTGTACTACCAGCACTTGGGAAGCCGAGGCAGAGGATAGACAGAAGTCTAAGGCCAGCCAGTGAGGGGGTCTTGGCAGGTGTCAGACAGAGACATGAACTGGGAAAAGACAAGAATGAAAACTCAGCTCAGATTGACTTCATCAACCTGAATCAAGACTTGTAAAGAGTCTGGTGTCAGGTGGTCATTCCTAGAGTATTTAAGACCCTTATGATTTGGGGTGGGAGGGGGGTAAGTTTCCTGATATAATACAATCCTTGATGCATAAGAAAGCATAATTAAAACATTAAAACTCAGGGTACAGGCTATTTGGGTTCTAGAAAGAGGCTACCCTTATTAGCCTAAGGGCCTAAGGAAGAGTCTGGTCTGGTCCTAGTCATACAGATAGAGTAGAGGTCATTTGGACTAACACCTACCTCTGGCCCTGGTTGTGGGACTTGGGGAGCCCCTGGTTGTAAGAGTCATTTAGATGACTGTGACCTCTGGTCCTGGTTCTAGGAGCTTGGTATGGCCTGGCAGATAACACAGATCACCAGGCTATTAATCACTTCCAGTTCCCAGCTTTCTGGATGGAAGAACAGGTTTTTCATCTTTCCCATTGGAAAGGCAGTCCTGTCTGCTTAACATTCCTGGTTTCTCTGGAGATCTGTGGGCTCAAGGACCTTCCACGCTATGCTCCCAACAAGCCTTGGCGACAGTGTGAGACTGTCCAAAGAGTGGCAGGTTTTATGTTCGTATGTCTCCATCTGCAGCTCCACACTAAATGCACACAGCTGCCCCATGATAATCCAGCACAACAGGGTGTGTGTCTCTAGCCTTCTCTTCCATTTGTAACCCTCCCCCACGCTGAGTGGGAAGCCTGACTCCTGCCGCCGCCATCCATCCACCCAGTCATTCCATCCAGTGTGTCATTTTGTATTATATTTCCATGTTTTCTTCATTCAGATTATAAAGTATTGCTGGGCAGGGTAGTGCCTACCTACAACCCCAGCACTCAGGGGTTGAGGTAAGCAGACAATGAGTTGGAGGCCTGCCTGAGCTGTATAGTGAGCCCCTGTCTCAAAAAATAAGAAAGAAGAAAAAAGATGAATAGATTTTTGAGAAGCAAAGCCTGAGCTTCCTGTTGGTTTGTTTATCTTTTCTGTCCCGTTCCCAGCATCTATCAAAATGTCTTACAAAACAACCTAGTGCTTTATGAATCTTTACTCTCTTGGAGAGGTGACACGGGGTGCTAAGTCCTCAGCTGCTCCCAAGGTCGAGCGATCTTTGTGGAACACTAAGTACATGGCCTTGGGGCCTGCCTGGACTGATGAGCCCTGCCCCTCAGAGCACAGTCCCCTGTGAAGGGGAGGAGGCAGAACAACAGCTCTACAGGGGCTGTGTCTGAGTCGCCCACATCTGCAGATGAAAGGGCGTCTACACTGAGGCCCGCCGCCCACCTTCCTAACTGCATCTGGAGAGCCCTGCTCTAAGGACAAATGGAGACACAGATGGGGCTAATTCCCGCGGCTGGAGCAGAGGAGCGCTCTCGCTGTGTGGCTGACCCCGCTCAATGAAAGCTGAGCATGAGCCCGCTGTCAGCTTCACTCAGTGGACTCTCAGAAGATTGCCCACATTCAGTCCTGAGGCACCCTCATCACCCACAGGGAAGGGATGGGATAGAGAACCCAGACTAGTCTCCATGTGGGGCTTCCCAGGGTCATCTGGTCCACCTCCAAGGCGTGGATCCCACTGTAGGTGCAGCCAGGGCAGCTCTTGGGTTAATTGTCTCTCTCTGTTGGTTTTGTTTCTTCCTTTGACGTGTGTTTCTATAAATAGGCTACCCTTCCACCTGAACATCTGTGTCCCACAAAGGTTTCTCAAAAGTTGCAGATGGGTGTCACTGCCATCCTTCATTCCTGCCCCAATTTAAAATAAGAACCCAGTGTCACCACCCCCCATCACCTTCCTGCCCCCTTCTTAGTTTGCTGGTATCACCCTGGGTGTCCTTCAGGCTGTAGGTGCTCAGGCCACACCAGAGCTAGGAGTGACACACCTGGACATGAAGGTTCCTGAGTTCATCACTTTTTAATTAAGCAAGATGAACCAATGAAAAGTAATTAGAAGTGGGGCTTCAAAGGGGCAGTGTGGGCATCATAAACTACCATCCCAAAGGAGCAGTGTGGGCATCATAAACTACCATCCCAAAGGAGTGGTGTGGGCATCGTAAGCTACCATCCCAAAGGAGCGGTGTGGGCATCGTAAGCTACCATCCCAAAGGAGCAATGTGGGCATTGTAAGTTACCATCCCAAAGGAGCGGTGTGGGCATCGTAAGCTGCTATCCCAAAGGAGCAGTGTGGGCATCGTAAGCTGCTATCCCAAAGGAGCAGTGTGGGCATTGTAAGCTGCTATCCCAAAGGCAGAGAGAGATGGGGAGGGGGACAGGATCTCGCTATTCATCCCAGGCTAACTTCTAACTCATCAGCTTCCTGGCTTGGCCAACTAAGAGCTGGGATGACAGACCTGCACCACCACACCCAGCTGAGAAATGGTTTTTATTCTCATCCAGAATGGAAGCCATCCCCCTGCTCCCACATTCTTCATGGTTTTCATTCAGTTTGCCAATATATAACCTGCTCACGTCCAAGGGCTCCTCATCCCCCCCCACCCTCATTTGCTCCTTTATCTCATGTAACAGTGGCAGCCATTGTTGTTAGCCCCAGGAAGACTCAAACCCAGCCCACACTATAAGTGAGATCTCTTCTCTCTCACTGTTAGCCTCTCTTCCGGCACCAAGGGTGGGGCTAGGCTCTGCTCCATCCATTCAAGGACATCTGATTTTCCTCCACTAGGACAGCACCCACACAAAAACCAGAAAGCAAAGCTTTAAGTGTGTGCAACGCGTTTATCGCCACCGCCATCTCCGCAGCCACCCCCTCCCCAGGATCTGGATCTGTAGGTACACCTCCGGTCTGAGAGGCTTCCTTGGGGGTGGGGAGTTACAAAGGACCTTTGGCAGCATCTCTGCAGTCAAGGGAAGAGCGCTCATTGGCACACAATCCAGGTGGTCCAGCCCTCACTTCCAGGCATGGCTGAAGGAGGGGCTTCCATGAGGGCTTTATATCAACCAGACCCAACTTCAACTCAGCAGCATCAGAATCCACGACCAAGATACCCAAACCACAGCAAAGCAGTGCTGTAAGGACTGGCCCTTGCACACATAACCCTCTCCTCTCACTAAATGCAGGACTGAGGCCCACGGATGGCTGGCAAAGCCCAGGACCCTGCCTAGCTTTGGAGATGAGGCTTTCCCCTCTCTCAGGCCCCAAACCGGCCATCCAGAGGCCAATCTGATCTGCAGATGACCTTTTGTCTTGCTGAGGATGAACCCATGGCCCCACCCATGCCAGACAAATAGACTTTTCTTAATTTTTTAAATTTTTATGTTTTTTGGAGACAGAGTCTCATTAAACTGCCCAAGTTGACCACCGAATGGGTGTCAAACATATGTGCCACCACAGTCCCCAAGCCTTGCACCAGGGTGGGACAGGCATGGGTATAGCACTCTTCAGTTTGCTTTGCCTGGCCTTGCCTGAGGCTTCCACAGGCCCAGGAAGTTCATGACCTGGGAAGGGGCCGTGAAAGGCATCTAGAACACTGCGGGGTGTTTGTGAGTGAACAGATGGGTTGATACAAATTTTGTCTGTTCCGCCAGGAAGCCCTCCTTTCCCAAAAGGTCCACAGCCAACCACACAAGTTATGGAGCTGCCATTAGCCCTTGGCCCTTCTTCATTAAGATGCCTGCTGTCTCAAGAGTCATTTAAAAAAGACGGCTTCTGCTGGCAGGTTCCAGTCATGCATACCTGAGCATGAATTCTTTCTTGGAGTTCTTAAATTCTTAGGGCTGAAACAGAGACCACGTTGTCCAAACGATGTACTTTTCCAGATTGAGCCATTGGCCAGGAGCAGGGCCACATGACCGGTAAACACCTTGGGATTTGATGGCTGCACCAACAGGGATACAGGCAGTCCATTTGGCCCCTGTACCACAAAAAGCCGGTACTGAAGTTCAGGCAATAACACTGGCTCTAACCCAGTTCATCTAAGACTCCTAAAAAATACGAATTTCTAATACCCGGATGCAACCATCAGTCCTCTTTTCCTGCCTTACGAACGACAAAGACTGCTCCTGAAGGGCACACGGCGTCCGAGAATGACAGACGGCAAGCAGCACGCGGGCCCTCACGCTCGGAAGCTGTTTTCTACAGAGTCTCGTCTTGTCAAAGGTTTGTGGGAGCAGGATGTGATTCATAACTCGTGTCCAGTGTCATATTTTCAAGACTGAAATTTGAAAAGAACACTTACATCATTATTTTAGAATAAACTTAGTGGGACAGAACTGTGATGCCTCCCCCTCCGCCAGCACGTCACGCAGTCCCGGGTCCTTGAGCTCTTCACGGAGCCTTCATCTTTCTTTCTTTTTAGGTTTTTGAGAGGAAGGCTGTGTGGGAGGGTGAGTGTTGACAAGCGTGCAAAACAGAAAACATCCTAAAGTTTGATGGGGAAATGGGTTAATTGGGGTGTCACGACCTCCCCATCCGGGGCCAGCATGGGCACAGACCTGTGCAGACTGCTTCACTCGACCCCCTGCTTCCAGACTGCTGTGTTTCTTGCTCTACCACCATCTTAATGATGTAATTGGCCCTACATTAAAAAAAAAAAAAAAAAAAAAAAACTTTAAAAAAATCCACTTGGCTGCTGTGTAACTTACATGCAATAAAAGGCATCCACTTAAGCAGACGGGGGATGGGGTGGTTCGGTGGTCATGAGCACCCTCTGGTCTAGAGGATCTGAGTGGTGTTCCCAGCACTCACAATGGGAGACTCACAGCCACATGTAGGTCCAACTTCAGGGGATCCGACACCCACTTCTAACCTGTAGGACCTGAGATTTCATTTCCCTTGGGCAAATGCACAAGGGTGAAATAGCCATTATCCTGTGTATCAGATAGTAACATTATGATTTATAACAGCAGCAAAATTACAGTTATGAAGTAGCAATGAAAATAATTGTAAGGTTGGAAGGGGTCGCCACAACATGAGGAACTTCAGTAAAGTTTGGCAGCATTAGGAGGGTTGAGAACCACTGAGTCAAATAGTGATCATTCACCACCCACTCCCCTGCAACCGTCACTTATAATTTAGAGCCACTTCACCTAAAAGTATGAAGAGGTTGAAGGAAGACACATTGAGCCTTGAGGTTGTAAAGATATTTTATAAGTGTTATATGTGTGTGTTTATAGCTATATATAGTGTTTATATATATAAGTGTTTATATATGTGTTATATATAAGTGTTTTTATTTGTAAGTGTTATACACACACACACACACACACATATACAAGGTCTCACTGCGTAGCCCCTGTCTGGCAGGGAACTTGCTACGTAGCTCAGACTTGCTTTCAAACTCACCAGAGATCTGCTTGTCTCTACCTCCTCGTGGCTGGGTTTAAAAGCATGTACTGCCACATCTGGCTATAAAAAAAGCTAATATATATATTCCCTATCTATATATTACTGAAAAGAATCAAATTAGGGCTCCAGATCCCAACCCTCAAGCTGTGAAATCCCCCGCATTGTTTGCCAGGTGTTTGTGTGTTTCACGGTGGCGAATGAGATGCACTGCACTTTTTTTTTAACGGGTTATTGTCACTTCCTAAAGCACCCTCCTTATTTTCAGACACAGGACCTGTCACAGTAAAATTTAAAAATTAAGTTAGAAAGGTAAGTGGGGCTGGGGATGCAGTTCAAAGGTAGGATGCTGCCTAGCCTTCCTGAAGAAGCCCTGGGTTCCACCCCCAGCACCACTTAAACTAGGCATATCAGTGTATGCTGTAATCCAGGCTGGTGGTGGAGGCAGGAGGTTCAAAAAGCTCAAAGTCAACCTTGGTTGAGTAGCAACCAACCTAGGCTACTTGATACCTTGTCTTGAAACGTCAAATAAAAATAAAAAATTGGTAAAAATAAAAAAACAGAAATAACACATTCCTTCTCAAAGCTAACAATACACAATTCACTCTTCGGAAATGCCTCAAATGCATTCAGCCCTTCAGCCTGATAGACGCTGCAATATGAACACTGAGTGCTTGAAACACATACAGTCTTGAAAATATTGAAAGTGTTCATCATTTGTCAAAAAATTATTATTATTTACTTTATGGGGGCATTGGGTGCACGTGGGCCGTGGTGCACACATGGAGGTCAGAAGTTGGTTCTCTTCTTCCACCATGTGCTCCTGCCTGTGCTTCCCTGGTTGTTAAGTTAAATTAGCCGTTTTAATTGGAGGAATTAAAGAAATGTGCTACTATGTTGGTTGTTCTAAAATTCTTAAGTAATTAAAGAGGAAAAAATATTTCTCACTTTTGAGTAAATTCTTAGGGTGGGAGGTTTTTTTTTTTTTCTATTTCTAACCTTTTCCTTTGGAAACTGCTTACATTTTCGTCTGCCCCGAGGCGCTTTAATCTTTCAAGGATGCACGTGTTTTCAATCCCCGACATTTACAGCAGTGCCCACTCCCAACTGCTCTGAGCGAAGGTTAAAAGAGCGAGCGCAGATGAGGCGCTAACCCTTTTTCCTATTGTTCTTTCTTATCAGACAGCTGAAACGTTTGCTCATATTGCTTGTGGTTTGCAGAATTTTAATATCTATTTCATTTTTCTTTTGGAGCTTGCCTTGACTCAGATAAACACCGTCTATAGCACCACAGCCCTGAGGATGAAACCCAGAGCCTCGTGCATGCAGGGCCAGCCCCGGGCCACTGGTTTCATCCCAGCCCTGGCACTAAAACCTAATGCCTGGAGGAGAAGCTCCTTTCGCCTGCCTCTCTTGGTTTTTTTTAGCCAAATCTTAGAGCCAGGCAGGGTGATGCATCCCTGTAATCCCAGGATTCAGGAGGCAGGGGCTGAAGGATCCTGTTTCTAAGGCTATCTTAGGCTACATAGTTAGACCAACTCAATAAACAAACATCGTTGGTAAATTTTACCAATGTTATCTTTGGTTAACTTTGAATTATTTAAATGCACCATCAGCACCACCATCACGGTCTACAAAACTATCTGGGTTAGGGAAGGCTGCTTTTGACCAGTGAGCCTTGAGGTCTGGTATTCAGGGTACCTTCATTCTTTTGACACCTCCCCTCTGCTCCCTGGGTCTTTACTGGAGTGACTGCAGGCTTTGGAACTCAAGTTCTCCAGCATTTATCATTCCCTGGGACAGCCTCTGAGTGTCAAACTGACAAGCTCAAAGACGCCTGCTTAAATGATTAGTGAAGGGTTCTTGTCTTGTTTTAATATTTATTTAGTCTCTCTCTCTTTTCTCTCTCTCTCTCTCTCTCTCTCTCTCTCTCTCTCTCTCTCTCTTTGTGTGTGTGTGTGTTTTTGTGTGTGTGTGTTTTTTTTTTATGTCTGTGTCTGTGTCTGTGTACCACATGTATCCAGGAGTCTCTGGAGGTCAGCAGACCATGTGGGTTCTGGGAACTGAATCTGAGTTCTCTGTGGGAACAGTGAGCTCTTCTTACCTGCTGAGCGACCTCTTTAGTCACCTCTTTTTGTTGAGTTTTTGTTGTTGTTGTTTGTTTTGTTTTGGAGACAGGATCTTGCATAGCTCAGGCTACCCTCAAATTCAGTAGTTGCTGACGGTGACCTTGATCTTCTGAACCTCCTGGCTCCACCTTCTGAACACTGGGATTACAAGCAATGTCACCACACTTCTTTTTGTGGTGCTGGGAAGAGAACCCAGGGCGTCATGTATATAAGGCAAACAGTCCCCCAACTGTGTTACACTGCAGCCCAGTTAGGGAAGGTGTAAAAAAAAAATCAGTCCCCTAGCTGATGAACTTGGGTAACACAGGTTCCCTCTCACGCTGGCAGTTGGAAGGAGGCTGTTGTTTGAAGTGGCTGGAACACGTATACTGAAGGTTTTAAATTTGAGCTCATATTGCTTTGTGATTTCAAATTTTAAGTTCCGTTTCTATTTTTCTTCAGGAGCTGGCTTTACCCTGTGTGGTTTCACCAGGAGAATGACATTTAGAAACTGCTAAGAAACCAGGTGTCTAGCATCTATAAAGCCATCCAGTACACATGGAAAGTAGAGAGGTTTTAGACAGCTTTAAGATGATGCTCTTTAAAAACTCGGCCGGGTTTTTGAAGCCCATTCCATATGGTGGGATGCCTTGCCCAGTCTTGATGTGTGTGTTGGGGGGCATCCTGCCTCAACTGAAAGTGCCAGAACTTATTGACTCCCCATTACCCCTTCTGAGAAGTGGATTGGGGTGGAGGTGCGGAGTGGGGGTGGGGGTGAGCGGGAGGAGGGGAGAGAAGGGGAACTGTGGTTGTTACATTTAAAAAAAAAAAAAAACTTGGCTGGATGGACAAGAAGTTTATCTGAGCGTTGCCTGTGAGGCTCTCAACTGGATGGGATCCTTTCTTACTAATTTTTAATGGAATCTTAATTGTACAGAATGTAGGCCTGGTTTTCCAGTTTTTAAAAATAATTTTCCAAGTTTTAGACTAAAACCATGTTCCCTTAGTACCTGTTTGCTTGATTATTTGGGAAACATTTCTCACTACACAGTCCAGTCTGGCCTCACACTTTGCAGCCATTCTTGCATCTACTTGACAAATGCTGGGATTGCAGACTGAAGTCGCCACACCCAGCCTTCCTTGATGAGTTCTTGTAGCTTATCTTAAACGATCCAATTAATGAGTTTTTTGTTTTTGTTTTTTTAAATGAATTTAGGAGTTGGAAAGATGATCAGTGGTTAAGAGCACCGGCCATTCTTCCGGAGGACTCTTTGAGGCCCAGGACCCACACAGCAGCTCACAAATGTCTGTTACTCCACTTCCAGGGGATTTAACTCCTGCTTCTGGGCTCCCTGGGCACCAGACACATATATGTGACAGATATGTATGTGCAGGCAAAACACCCAGGAGAGAGTGAGAGAGAGAGTGTGTGTGTGTGTTTCTAGGGACTAAAAGCTTTAACACTGCATGAAACCTAAGGGAGAAGGCAAAAATAATCTAAAAGCTCACCATGGATACCCAGCTTGTACAATGACAGGTAGGTGTATATATCTACACATTCCCATTCTCTCCCTCCCCCTCCCTGCTGCCCTCATTCCCTCTCTCCACATTCTGCAAGCTGCTCTTCACTTGCCGCTATTCCACAGACATCCCCCACACATGATAACCGCCCATCTCGCTCATTCTTACTCAGTGGTCCGCACTAAAATGTTTCCACCTTGCACAGCTGTCCCATTATTTACTGACAAATATTCTCTCTGACGCCCATCCATATTTGAAGTATTTCACTTGGTCACAGACATCAATAGGTGGCCTGGGTGGAGAGCCGGCTTGTACTCTATCCTCTTATCCAGTTAATTCCCACATCAGAGCCTCGACCAACAACGGGCAGTGGGTATCGCAATACGAAGGAGTGCTTGCGTAACCGAGAGTAAACCACACAGCTAAGGATCTCCTTTATCTGTAATATTGTGCTGTGCCAACCCTCGGGCTTAAATGGCTCCCCATCTACAAGGGATCTAGGTGGTTTCCGGTGTCTTCTTGAGTCCTAAACGTGCCGGGTGCATTCCTGTGCTCAGAAGCACAGCTGTGTAGCCTCTGCTTTACAAACACATGCACGCACACA